TTCACTTATTTCAACCCTTGAACTTGTTGCAACTGAGCTTTGGCCAATTGGTTCATTGTGATTGTTAACTCTACAATAGCTTGCATATGATCATGTAGTTCCTTGTGTAGGTGAATGACATTGGGGTCACCTTGCGGAACATTGGCCCTACTCTGCCATGCCGATGAGATATCTGCCATCTCATCCAAAATTTCACAAGCTTCAGCATAAGGTGTGTTCATGAAGTTCCCGCCGGTGAATTGATTTACCACACATTGATTTGTTGTGTTGATCCCCCTGTAGAAGGTTTGTTGAATTATGGCCTCGGTCATATCATTATTCGGGCACTCTTTAACCATGGTACGATATCTTTCCCAAATCTCATGCAACGACTCATTGGGCTATTGCTTGAACGCTAGAATTTCATTCCATAGTGTAGCCATGTACTCTGGAGAGAAGAATTTGGCAATGAATATTTCGACCTATTCATCCCATATATGGATGGAATGATTGGGCAATCTCTCTAGCCAGTCCAATGCTTTTCCTCGTAAAGAAAAGGGAAATAGCCTCAACCTTAGCGCGTCCTCAAAAACATTGGTTTGCTTGCTCCTCCAACAAGTATCGACGAACCCCTTGAGATGCTTGTAAGCAATTTGATTTGGAGCCCCGGTGCTCAAGTAGTGTAAGCATCACATCGGTGATTTGGACGCTGCCCGCCCTAATGCGGGGCGGGACTATAGCACTTGCATAACCCTCGTTCGGCAACACCCAGTGCGCTGCCGCTCTTGGTGGAGGTGGGGAGGGACGTGAACATTATCATGAGGCAGTCGGCCTCGCCTATTTGCTTGAGGTTCAGAAAGAACCTCATCTCCTTGATCATCGTCCGCTTCCTCCCCCAATGGAAAATTACCAATGGGCTCGTTGTTGAGAGCTATTCGCGTACATATAAGCAATTTTTAAACAAAATTAGTGACTCGGAAGGAAAAGAAGATAAATCACAAAAAAAACCTAGATATATAGCTAAATCCGTTTAACTCTCCGGCAACGGCGCCAAAAAATTGATGTCGCCCAAACTCACACCACAAATATAGGTAGTGAGGCGGTCAAAGTAATAATAAAACCCGACGCAAGTCGGGGTTGAATCTTCAGGGAGTTAGAATTGGGTTTAGATATATATTTAGTGTAATTGTACGATATACCTTAGATTACACTTCCACATTCTTGTTTGTTGTTTCTACTTCTACTTTAAACTATTGATTGCAATTATAAAACTAGAAGGCAATATTTTTGGTTTTGGTTGTTTTCCAAATGATAAAAGATCTAGGGTCGTAACTTCCACCTAGGTGGTTACCTAATGGGTTGTAAACTCTGGGGCAAGTTTGATTGTTCGAGGTTTTAATATAGCAATCACACGCAATTACCCACTCTATACCTCTCGGTAGTTTGAGTGATTTTGCCTAATTTGGCTTTCTGAAGCCCAAATGGGTATTGCACAAAATAAGTTGGTTCTATCAATTTCTTGAGTTCACCTCAATTTCTTGTTAGCCAAGTTCTTAGACTTAGTCTCTCTTTCTCAAGTAGAGACTAAGTCAATTAGGCATGAATCAATGTTTCATTAATTCTTGAATTCAAGAAAGAACTAGGCTAAATATCACTAACCCAATCACAAACAAGTCCTAAATCAAACACTCATTAAGTACCCATACTAGGGTTGGGCCACAATCCTAACTAGAAATTTAGCTATTCATAAAAAATAAAGAAATACAAGAAGAAATAAAGACATAATGCATAATAATTGATTAGAAAAAGAAAATCTAATGTTTAGAAGCTAATCTAGTATAATATTACTCAAAACAGTAAAGAAAAACGGCTCAAGTGCTCTCCCAAAACTTAACTTACCCTAAAAATAACAAAAAGTTCTATTTATACTAAGCTGAAAATATCTGAAAAAATGCCCCTGTGTAGGTTGTGCGGCTGCACAATTCTGTGTGCGGTCCACACAATTCTATGTGCGGTCTACACTCTGAGCTTGATTGGTCAACTAGCCCTTCTGCGGTCGCATAAAAGTGGGATGCGGGCGCACTTTATTTGATTGTGCGGAGCGCACAATTCTGAGTGCGGCCGCACACTTGAACTTGGACTGGAACATGGCTTTCTGATTCTTCTTTTCTGCGGACCGCACAATTATGAGTGCGGACGCACTTGTCATCCTGCGGCTGCACAATTATGGTGTGGTCCACATATCTTCAGCCTGCCCAAAAACTAACTCTCTGAATCTCCTCTTCTACGGCCGCACAATAATTGTGCGGTCCGCGCACTCTAAAGGACATGTGACAGTGATGTTTTATTGTTTTGCGCCCGCACACAGTATTGTGCGGTCCGCACCGTGGCCTTTTTGCCTTGTTTTGGTCCTTGTCCATTTTTAACTCCTTTATGAGTTGATTTTGACTTCTTTGGCTCGTCTCCCAATATTCCTGCACGAAAGCATATTTTATTAGTTCCCGGGAATACCTTTAAGCATTTTTGAGATAAAACGCAAGTAAAAGAGAGCAAATAAGCTGTCAAAATCCCTACTTATCAACCTCTCCATTGGCACTTCAATTTCTGTCTCTAATGCACATTGTTCCTGCCTACTATCCATACTATTAACTTGTTGAGCATTAAAAGCTTCAACTATTTGACTCACTTGAGCCTCCAAGTTACAAATAGTTGTGTCTTGCCTTTGTATCTGCAGTTGTGTCTCATTATTATTTTCCAAAAGGTACCTTAGCATATCCTTGATCTCCTTCAGGTCATCATCCTCGGATCCTTTGTTCCTATTCATTTTACAAGAAAAAGTAGAACCATCATAGCAAGGGGTTGAAGGAGGATAAGAAATATAAGCACAACTATGAAAGCGACCATTTTGACCACCACACACATCACACACATTCCACAAATAAAATTGAGTTGGTGCACATAACTTGCTCTCGGAAATATTTTGATAATTTTGCCACAAGTGATTTCTTTCATAATATAGATGAGGATCAACAGTAGAATTATCAATACCTAAACTCCCATAATTTCAAGATGTCATGTTTCTCAAATCAACAAGTAGAATAAAATAAAATTAAAAAAATAAAACAAAACAAAATAAAATAAAAGTTCAAACTCGAAACCTAGCAATATATACAGCTACAACTACACAGTTAGTCCCCGGCAACAACGCCAAAATTTGATCACGCCCAGCTCTAGTCCTAAAAATGATAAGTGGTCGCTGCAAATATAATCCGGTCTAAAAGTCCGGAGTTAAATCCCACAGAGAACTAAGGTTTAGCTATAACTGTTTATTATCACTAAGAAGACAAGCTCAAATAATTCCTAAGTTAAATATTAAGATTCTTATGTCTAACTAATTAACTAACAAATTAAAGAAGTAAATTAACAACTAAAGATACTAAGGGTTGGAGACTAAATTATGGAGAGGTCTAGAGTTATGATTTCCTCAATTGTCGGAATCCTTCCGCTACGTCTCCTACAATTTCGCCTAAGTATTCTCTACTGATCGTGAGCACTCAACTTATCGTAATTCTCTTTCGAGCAACTACAATAATATACTATTCATATTCTCCTCTCCCGAATTATGCTAGGTCACACTTTTTCACCGCTCACTATGATCACGTCAAAGCTTCGTTATCTCTAATCCCGCTTTTAAACCCGTCGTATTGATCTCTCATATACCTTAGGAGTAACGTTGCTCAACAAACACCTAAATATATCCTTTCTCAAGCAACACATAATAAATAGGCACAGTCAATCGATGACCATTCAATCAACAGCAATAAATACGTAGTTGAACAAGTAAGGATATTCAAAGGCAAAATTATATTAAAACGTAGCAAGAGTTCATTGTTCAATAGGTTCCATCAAACCCTATATGAGAGAGTTTAGCTACTCATAATTGTATAAACAATCATAATAATATTCAAAAGCATTAAACTATAAATTAAAGAAGAACGAAGAGAAAAACTCTTGTGATCCGCGCTCTAGAGTGTTATGTAACCTTTAGCCTCTCCAATAGTGTCATCCCCGCTAAAAACTAAGTTTAGGAGGTATTTATAAGGTAGGGTTAACGTCTACATGCCCAAAATTAAGAAGGAAACAAAATTGGCTCGAATAACATCGTTGGTGCGAGGCAGTGTCAGAGGCACCAACATTTCTAGGCGAGGCACTGTTAGGGGCGCCAATATTTCTGCGCGACGCACTGTCAGGAGCGCCAATGATAGTGCCCTGAACAAGGCCTTGCACTGTCTATGGCCATGACTTTTCAATGCCTTGTACGTCTTCTTTTATTGCTCCATTTTGTAGATCTGATGTACTATTTCGTGCAACTTTTCCCCAATTCAGGTCCATGCATTCCTACACGTGGAATAAGCTCTATTAAGCTCAATTGTCACACAAATTAGCATCCAAACAACAAGCAAATAGGATAAATAACGTCAAAATATATAGAATTATAGCAGGACATCAAGCTACCGTTGTCCCCTATTATATTCTATAAAAATAGAATATTAAAGTAGTTACTCTAGTTTTTACTATAAAATATTGAAAAAAGAGCCCAAAGGTTAAAAGGTTGTTATGCCGAATTTGACCAAATAAAAGACTAGTTATGGAATACTAATTGAGAAGGGTCAAACACTACTATTTCGTAGGTATTTTTCAAATTGAAAATTAATTTTTTTAAACTAGTGGGAGGTCCAAGAAGCACCAAATATAAACAATAAATATGGTCTGAGATTAACTTATACGTAATTCATCACCAAAAAAGAAAAAGAAAGAAAGTGAAAGGGAATCGGGAAAAGCCAAAGACAAAAAGATAAGAAAATATCTGTGGAAAATTCTTTGATGACACCGTAAAGCAAAATACGTACGAAGCGAAGCTCACAAAAGAAAGAAACAAAGAAAAAGGGCCAGGAACAGCTGACGCCATATATTATTATTTATTATATATTTATTACTCCTAAAGAAAAAAGAGAGATAGATAGATATACACGGTAAATAAAAATACCAAAGGAGAGAAAGCGCGTGACTTGTGAGAGTTAAAGTGAGTGGTGAATCCAAAAGGATTTTTTCGTTTCTTTCGATTCATAGAAACTTCAGCTGAAACACACACACACCAGCTAGTGTTAGTGCGTTCCACCCCCCCCCCCCCCCCGGGACACCTACAGGTCAGTAATCTATTTCTGAAACACACACACACACACACATTAAGATTTTGTAGAAAGGTTAAAATATTGAAACGGATCACGAAGAATTTGATTTAATAGGTAAACCCAGAAAGAGAAATTAATTGATAATATATATAACCCATAAAGATTTGGTGAAAAATTTGATTGCTATTTCTTTTGTTTATTTGTTAGCTTTAATCTGTTGATTTGTTTCATTGGCTATAATTATTGTTCTTTAGGAGTGATTAATTCTTAATAAAGGTCAACGTGTTGGTGGGGGATTTGGGGGATTTCTGGTTGATGACTAAGAACTAGGTTTACTTTGTGAAGGGTTCTTGTTAATGGGATTATGGCTGTGAATTTTGCTATATTGTTCTAATTTGGTTGCTGATTAGTGGGTTCTTACTGGATTTGGTTTTGGATTACGGATTGAAGTAGCTATGTTGCTAGTTAGTGTTTGTTTGCTGTTACTTATCATGACGGTGGTGTCTGGGTCAGTTAGCATGCACCTCGAGTATTCCACCGGGTATCCGCTACCTCTGACCACCATAGGTATCGGGTAACTTTGCCCACCAAGGTTTATGTAGATGGGAAGAAATCACTTAGTGTTTTTATCCTCCGTTAGGATTTGAACCAACTGAGACCTCATGGTTCTCCTCCAAGTTCATTGATCACTTGGCCACACCCTTGGTTGTAGCATTGCAGTGGATGAGTGAGAAAAACCTTTAGTGTGTGAGTTTGTGTTCTTCTTAATGTGACTGGCTGTGAAATTATGCTATAGTGTTTGTGCGTCATTGATTACTGGGTTCTGTGTTGTGGTTGCTAATGTTTGTATCGCTAGTACCATGTTGGTTTTTGTTACATTATGTTGCTATTATAATTTAAGGATTGTTACAGGGTTTCTTGAGATAGCAATATAGCATCAGGAGTGTTGAGCTGGTTTTTTGCCAAGTGGGGTGGCTATTAGATTTGTGGCGATGCTTAGTGGATTGATCATCAAATTGTCCCTGATATAAGTAGAGTTGCTGAATTGTTGAATTTTGAGTTTAAAGGTCATGAAGACAATATTGGACATTCATTAAATAATTTTTTATTGAAATGTATCTTAGCTTAGTCCCTGAGGAAAGTTGTGCATAACCATTCTATTCATCTTCTTATTAAATTATATTTTTATTCTTTCCATTTTGAGCTCTCACCATACCACACAAATCACAATTTTTCTTTTGGCTGAAGTTGACTGGTTGATTGTGTTCTTGCTTCCTACCTGCCTTTTCCTTTTCTTTTGAGCCCGTGGTGATGAAGTGTCATGCTTTTCAAGTTGAGAGAAGACATTCTTACCATTCTACTTTTGTTGCACTTTGAACAGAATAACTGCTTAGACTTCTCATATGAAGCTGGTGCAGTCCCTGAATTAACTGGTTGATTGTGAAGAGAAGAGAATTTTTCATTCTGTTGAAGTCAGACTTCTGTTTAAGACTTTTGCATCCCATGTTTTCAATACTTACCTCTCAGTCAGTGGACTTAGATGGCCAGTTCCTTGATAGGGCTACACCGGAAAAGCCAAACTAACCAGTTCCAATTATTAATGGAGCAAGCAAATAACCGTAGCAATGACGAGCATGTTATTGACATAACGAGTAGCAGTGATGCATCCTCATCAAGCAACCCCCATGATAGACCAGTCAATAACTTGCTGCATGTACAAGCTGAAGATCAGCCATCAACAAGCACAGCAGTGCCTGTCTCACAACATGCATTTTCTTCTGCTAATAGATCAAACTTGAGGAACTCATCGTTTGTTCGAAGAGGAAATGGGCGTAGCCGCCATCGGAGTCCTCTGAATTCCTTGCTATGGATATCCATTGAATTAGTCTTGACAGTGAGCCAAATAATTGCAGCAATTGTAGTGTTGGCCATGTCAAGGGATGAGCACCCACGTGCTCCACTATCCCAATGGATCGTCGGTTATGCATCTGGGTGTGTAGCAATTCTTCCTCTTCTCTATTGGCGTTTTCGTCACAGAAACCAGAATTCAGATCAGGATTCATCTCAGCAGCCACAGGGTGCTTCGCAGACTGAACTCTCATCCAGACCTTCCTCGAGTACAAGGAGTTCAGAAGTTGAAGGCCGTCAGACAACTGGTACACCTTCTATAGGTGGTCAAAGTAGTGGACTACGGAGCAGAAGGTGCATTCTATTTCTTTTCCATATATGGGAAGTTCAAAATTATCATATAGTAATAATCCACATAAATTGCAATAGAAAAGAAATAAGCATAATAGTGTTGCTAACTTGGTAAAACTTGTCCTTATTAAACCACTCCTCTAAGCATATTACCTTTCTCAAAAAAAATAAAAATAAAAATTAACCACCCCTCTAAAGTCTTACAAATTTCAAAGCCGGAATTTTCATTTCTGGTATGTTTTAGCTTAACCCTGCATTTCATGTGCTGTTGCAAGACTGGACATGTGTAATGGTGTACAGTCCCTTCATTTGATGTACACCACTACGATTTGACTAGGCNTATTTTGGGAAATATGCAACTTGTTTTGACCTGTGGGAAGTGTGTTCCTTATGCTTTCTGTTTTGTGGCGAGTGAATTTACTTGATTGAAGGGATTCAGGCCAAAATATTGAGTGGCTTTCACAGATGGCCAATATTTCTGGAACCAAGGACATGACCATATTTGTAACTCAATAATGCTTTTGGCATTGATAATGTTCTTCAACTAATTGTGACTGATACTTAAATGTCTAATAGATGTTGGATGACAATATCTGCCTCACAATGTTCTTCCTTTTCCATTATTTTGCATTCATCTGGTATTGGAAACTTGTAGTGAAATTAATGTACAAGATGGCAGGAGCACTGTCCTGTTGCATTGAGTACTAAAGTAGCTCGTTTCCCTATTGCAGGTTAAAGGCACTCGTTGACTACTTTAAAATGGCACTAGATTGCTTTTTTGCAGTGTGGTTTGTGGTTGGCAATGTCTGGATATTTGGCGGTCACTCTTCTTCCTCTGAGGCTCCTAACTTGTACAGGTGATGTTTCATTAGTGTTCTCATTTTG